TCCACACAGTCAACTCTTTGTATGTAACAAAATGATGGATCTTATCTGTTATGAAATTCTTTATAGAGTAATTTACTATGTTTCTATACAGAACTGTATAATAATTAAAAAAGTATATTATAGAGTAGGTTTGTTATAAAAAGATTCGTTATATCCAGAGTTTACTGTATTTAAAAAAACCAGATTCAAAATAATATCAGGAGATTAATATACAATTAAAATCTTACTTTTGGTTAGAGGGATTCAAAACCAGCAAAGATTGTTTTCGATATTTATACTGTGGATTAGGAAAGCGCCGTTTATTACGTAATTTCATGAGGACTATCACGTCTATATATTATTATTATAATTGGCTGTGAATTTGATCACCTAGAGGAAGGGGGCATGACTTTCTAATAAAAAGAAATTACGTAATAAACACACTTCCCTTACCATCTAATTATTTTCCGATATACCGAAAATTCGATGTAACAACTATCTTATTTCTCATTCAATTCGTTGCTTTATGCATGTCTGCCTTGCAATATTTTTTTTTTTTTTGTTACGGCAAGAGAGTAGACTAAAAAAGGAAAGGTCTGAAACCTTTTACCAAAAGATTAACAGTACAGGCATCTGGATTATGTTTTAATTTCTTTGTACGTATTATGCCTACATACATATCGATATATATCGTTAGTATTAGAGAAATGCATCTATTTATGACAAACCTTTGTTGAAACTCTTCCCAATATTCATTTTTATTGAAAAGGATGGTCCGATTCAATTCGAAGTTCGGATGATTTTGAGCTACCCTTTTAATTATGATCACATTACAACTTTTTAATATACAACAATTTTAGTGCAGTCTTAATTTGTTTTAACAAAGAACAATGTAAAGAATAATGTAAAGATTTAAGAGATTGTTTAACTTTTTTCGACCTAAACAAGAAAAATGAAATAATATTATTAGTTTTGGAATTTGAGAATCTAATGGCCACCCAATTATGTTATATTGGATTCTGATATTTTTAGCTTCATTAATTAGCCTGTAAAAGATAAAATCAATTAAGACATTTATGAATTATTGAGTTTTCACATGAAATATTATTAAAAAAAGAACAATGTTAGTAATAAATACCCCGTTATCTTGATTCAGGATGTTATCGGCTTGACCCGACTTGTACATTGACTATTATAAAAAATGGTGTTCAAATGGGATCCCCCGACATTTATTTCCCTGACAATCCCTTCCTCGACAATCAATTCCTCGACACCTTTACTTCCCTGACAATCATTATCCTGACATGTTCATTTCCCCGACACTATAATAACAACTTGTTATGCTAGTGTTGGGAAATGAAAAATGAACATGTCGGGGAAGTGATTGTCGGGAAAATGTTTATCAAGTGATTGTCGGGGAAATAAATGTCGGAAAAATGATTGGGACCCGTCCAAATGACCCCTAATCATTATACAATGATCGGAATATTATCGGAGCATTTTTCTTTATCTAACCTAATTATGTGGTCTACAGTAAACATTGATCATACCAGAAGTTTTATCCGTCTTTGGTTAGATATACTTTTGGTTTTTTTTTAGTGTTGAAATAAGGCCGTTTTTAGTTGATTTTTAGGTTAACGTCATCCCCCCCTCGCTTAACTGCCTCCCCCCGAAAATTAAACAAGCCAATCACAACGCAGCATAAACATGTGATTAATGTTGACCAATGAGACTTGATCAAAAATTCTTGGGACTATATGTGTTTGTTTAATTTCCCCCCCCCCCCCCCCCCCATGCCTGAGCCTAAATATCGACGTTAACCTAAAAATCAACTAAAAGTGGCCTAAGCGGTACGACAGTAGACACAACTTTCTCTACAAATATTCATTTATTTCATATCATGCAGGATCTGTTAATAATGAATCTGCTAACAATGGGATCTATTAATACTAAACCTCTTAATAGTCAGTTAATATTAAACTTCCTGAATAGCTAATCTGTTAATAATGAACCTATCAATAGTGAATCTGTTAATAGCGAACCTATTAATAGTGAGTCTGTTAATAACAGAACTGTTAATAGCATAGGAGTTGAAAGCATTTTAAATGTTTATTCACATAATGGATAAATATGTAAAATAAAATAAATAATACTGTAGAAAAGCATTATTAATATTACTGTATTATTTGTTGTTATTCCGGGATTTTTTATTCCGGCCAAGCAATTTTAATACGTACGTACGTACGGATTCCAGACTCAAACCTGCATATATGCGCGTATATGTAGTGTACATGTAAATAGATCAACAGATTATCTATTTACAATCCATGAATTCATGAATCTATGAATCTATGGGTTTCTGAACCATATTTACATACGCGTTTCACCAACATTCTCTAGGTAAACAAAATGTAAGCCTATCTTTACTTCTTATAATTCGGAATCTGGGGATTATTTAAATATTTTTAACTTATATATGCATATATAGTAACGTTTCACAAAGACAATCGGATTATCGCAACAGTTTTTAAACATTTTTAGTCAATTGTCGCGAAGAAAACCTGATTGTAATTATATTTTAAAGAATATACATGCATATGATTATAAGGGTTTCTGATTCATTTTAATCAAGAATAGAAACGATAACCTTATGACTCATTGAATGCAACCAAAACAATAAACATTTTTACCTATCAGTTGAAAAAAAAACCAGATAAAGAAACACGTAAAGAATTTTCAAACGTTCCAAACAACCCTGAAAATTTACTAATCGGACTTTCGGAGTTAGAATCATGCAGTGGCGTCTCGATGAAACATTGAATCAACATTCACATCCATAAAAAGCATTTCTTTATATCTCTTGATACCGTTAAACAATTAAAATCAATTAAATACAGTTAAATACAGTTAAATACAGTTAAATACGGGTAAATACGGGTAAATACGGGTAAATACGGTTAAATACAGTTAATTAATTATCATCATTAGAAATTTAAAAATATAAATATGTTTAATTGTAATTATTTATTTAAGTCACGCGATTATTATATCTAGACCATCCATTTGTATGAGTTTACTAAATAATAATATTAATAGTTCTTGGCGTTATGCAGGGTTAATTAAATATCTTTAATTTAAGGAATAATCGAAATGAACTCAGTAACCCCCATTATACAATAAATAATAATAATATACACCAACATAATTTATATAACGTCACGTATGATAAAAAACACATCTCTTTATCATAGGCCGGTACTGGGAGATGTAGGGTTGTTAAAAAACTTGTCGGACCCGGTCCTTGAGTCGACTTCACACGGACTTTTTAGGACCGACTCAAGCCTGTCCCAGACAAAGCTCCATATGCATGTCTTTGTTCTAGAAGGGCATGCATGTGATTGGTTAATTTGCATCGAGATCGATTTGACCAAAATACAATACTGATTATTATTATTATATGCACGGACTCGACTCAAGGATCGAGTCCTAATCGAAGTCCCTATTTATGGAGTCAGGACCGAAAGGATCGGACTTTTAACAGCCCTAGGGAGATGTGATCCGTTTACATCCTTAAATTTAATGGGATACTCTGATATTCACTTTATTTGCCGATTATAATTCTATATATAATTTTGTTAAAACAAGATAAAAAATAGAAGATATCCGGATGGCATCTATAGGCAATATATTTAGGAAATATCCATCACATGACCAGACCATTGTTTCAGGAAAGATATTGTTTCAGAAGGTAGATTTTATGACATAATTTTTTAAAATGGCTTTAATTTCAAATTGATGGGAAAACAATTCCTATTCACGTTATTCACGTGATAAATTAAATTCTCGAGGCACTTACGTACTAATACAGTGTGCAGATCATAGCATTATTTAAGAACAAAGGAAATAATGGTCTTGGACCAAAAAAGCTCATTCCTGGACATATTTTCCTGAAATAGATCAAAAATAAACAGACTATGCACCCATTTAACATCGATATGACAAGTCCTTAATTTAACTACGTAACACAAGAAAACATTCCATTATAGGCATACAAATACAGTCTATCACGAGAACCTAAAAAAGGGAGATCGTCTAAAAAAGTTAAAAAACGATAATATTTTATATTTTATCACATGATTTTTGATTTATAAAATCAATTAGTAAAACTGTATGATCCCCAAAAAAGGGCAAATAACGGATTATTTTCTCACTAATTCCATAATTAAGCTTTTGTAGGTATTTTTTCTATATATAACGTACTGATAGTTTTCTAAGTAGATAGAAAAAGACAAAATTTCAACATCAATATTCCGGACTTGTCATGAATTTCGAGATTGATATAAGTGTTTTGTAAAGTGAAAATCTGTAATTGTACTAATTGTACTAATTGTACTAATTGTACTTAAGGAGTGTTTTCACATTACAATACTCGCGTAGTGTAAAAAAGTCATATCTTATACCCATCATGAGTGCGAATTAGATTTTCATCCATAATCATCTAACAATTCCTGAATTCGCTATATTACTTATATTATAGGATAAATATGTATATTTCTCGGCCGACCAATCATGATTAGTAACTAAATTTGTATGAATTAATCTAGACCTCGATGACAATCTATGTATGAGTAAATGACCATGACTATTGTTTTCCTAATTCTTATACTAACAATTTATAACCAACAAACTCCGGAAACTCCGAAAAAATTAATTCGAGTATTTTATTATATTAAACTATATATTTATTTATTCATTCATTTATTCATTGAAAAAAAAAAGTCGATTGAATAGTACAATTAAACACGATACATATTACAATTTATTTACCCGTTTTTTTTTACATGCATTTTTATTCATTTTTATTCATCTTTATTTTTTTACATCAAGTAAATACAAAAGATAAAACATATACAGACAAATGTACCTTTTTGTTAATAAAAAAAGATTTTCAATAAAATATATAACATATAATCTATGAATTCCTATGCTTTGAGAATAAGAATATCATAAATTGTTAAGAGTTATTGTTGTTGAGGAGTCAAAAGATCAAAATAATAAGTTAATAATTGATTTTGGTCTTGCGGGAAAGCAGGTATTTCACTTATTGCGTTATCATCAAAGGATTGCAATCCGCCAAAATTATTATTATTGTTCAATTGTGCGGAATTATCAGAATGATGATTGGTCAGAGGAGGAGAAGGTACCTGAACAGGTTTATAGGAAGTATTATAATTAGCCGAATTAGCCGGTGAAGAAGGAGCTTGCCAAGACCTTTCCAAATTACCATTATAAAATGGAGGGGAAGGGATCTGATAGGGCTTGTAAGCC